TAATTTGATACAAAATGTCAAAAGCTGCTTCAAACGGTTTCCGAGATATTCCATGTTTTAATTTAATTTAATTACTTCTTGTAGCAAATTGATAAAAAAGTTAAGTCTCTTTGAATATCATTAAGCGATGCAGTTGGATTTACAGCAAAATAAGCCAGTACAGTTATTTCTTGTTCTTCAGAGTCAACCACAGACCGGAGGAGACTTTCTTTTTTGTATTTGTGCTTGAAACGTAGGTACCGTTATTCCTGAAATTTTTGTAGTAAGTAATTTGCAAATTGTCGCCTTTGTGGGGCGCGCCTTGTCAGGGTATCTTTTGGAAAAAAGACGGCAAGTCTTGGCCGCTATTTGCTTACATTCACCATGTATTAATATTAAATTCAAAAAATCTTCATTCGTGTAACCCAAACGAGCCATTGTTGACGAGAAATAAAAGTTCAAAACTGTTCAAGAAGCGAAAATTTGACGTTTAGACGTTATCATAATAAAAACAAAAGAATAAAATGAAGCGACTTCATTTTTCTATTAATTTGCAGCCTTTGACATTTTGTAATTAAAGGTCTCGGAAAAAGGAAAACAACAGTGAAGAAAAAAATCGAGGGTGCCTTTTGAAAAAATGGAGTTACGGATATTTAAAAATTTAAAAGTTGTAATCTTTGAAAAAGTGACGTAGTCCTACTCTTTGAGACGGTTTCGTATACCATAAGAAAATTCGATCTTTTCTTAAAAAAGCATTGAAAACTGTTTTGCAATATCTCTCACCGTTTTCGAATAATAAATTTTTTAAATTACCCTTGCAAATTCAATTGTTGACATAAAAACTTGAATATCGACGAAGCCCTTGGAGCAAAGGGGCAACTATGGGGTATCGTTGTACTCCAAATTCGACGAAGAATCCGGAAATGTAGAAAAATAGGAGGTCCTTATTTAAAATAACAAAGTTGATGGTTACTTCCGGTATTTGCGGAAGTGCCGCCATCTTGTAAATATTTTAATTCAATGCATCATGTGCCAAAAACCCTTAAGGGACTTATCAGTTTAGTTTCATTTTCAAAGGTTCTCCATATCTTTCTAACTGACGCCCGCTGTATATAAATTAAAGAAAGTTGGCGATAAACAGCATACCTGTCTAACTCTCCTCTTCCGGTATCCAACCAATCCGTCTTTTTACAAGCAATCCTTTTTGTTAGATATATATAGGGTGCCCATTATGTATGGAATACAGTATACAGGGTGTAGCACCTAAGATCCCTCGGATCATAACTCCTTTAGCATAAAAGATACCGAAAAAAGTCTTAGAGCAAAATTGTACACAATTACCGCCGGCATGTTTCTAAAATATTTTTGATCACCAGGGGCGTACAGTATTCCAGTGGTGTATCAAACTTGCATTTTTTTAATGGAACATCCTATATTTTATTACTGATTTGGAGAGTACTTGAAAAGTACTTATTTTTTTATGTTACATGTCATACCTTTTTTCGTCAAAATTTGACAGTTTTTCAGATTTCTTTCTGAGAGAAACTAAATCGCGCAGGCGGTTAATTTTTAGACTGAGGCATAGGTTAGACCTCTTCCACAATCAGATAATTTTTTTAGGTACTTGATCGAAAAAATAAAATTTCTGATTGGCTTTCGCTAAAGTCATATTTTCTAGAAATTTCAAATGGCACCTTCCTAAACAAATTATACCTCTGGATAGCCAAAACTACAAATTTTCTACTGATATAAACAAAACCACCTCCGTGAAGACAGCAACCAAAGATAGCAACCGTTTCTCCGAAGATGCCCGAATACCACAGAAATACAAAAAAATGTAGATTGCGTCAACCTTTACAAACAAGCAATGCGCGAATAGTTATCACTTTCTAGTTTGTGCAGAAAAATACTGCTATACATATCCAATAAACAAATGCAAAAATAATGTCTTGCAACCCCTTGCGTCACATAGAAATCCACCCCCAATGTGTTTATAATTCGAATACGGCAAAACGCGGGTAGTTATCACTTTCTAGTTTGTGCAGAAAAATACTACTATACATATGCAATAAACAGATGCATAAATAATTTCTTGCAACCCCTTGCGTCACATAGAAGTCCACCCCCAATGTGTTTATAAATCGAATACGGCAAAACGGGGGTAGTTATCACTTTCTAGTTTGTGCAGAAAAATACTACTATACATATGCAATAAATTATTTTTGCATCTTTTTATTGGACATGTACCTATAGCAGTATTTTTCTGCACAAACTAGAAAGTGATAACTACCCCCGTTTTGCCGTATTCGATTTATAAACACATTGGGGGTGGATTTCTATGTGACGCAAGGGGTTGCAAGAAATTATTTTTGCATCTGTTTATTGGATATGTATAGCAGTATTTTTCTGCACAAACTAGAAAGTGATAACTACCCCCGTTTTGCCGTATTCGAATCATAAACACATTGGGGGTGGATTTCTATGTGACGCAAGGGGTTGCAAGAAATTATTTATGCATCTGTTTATTGCATATGTATAGTAGTATTTTTCTGCACAAACTAGAAAGTGATAACTACCCCCGTTTTGCCGTATTCGATTTATAAACACATTGGGGGTGGATTTCTATGTGACGCAAGGGGTTGCAAGGAATTATTTTTGCATCTATTTATTGGATATGTATAGCAGTATTTTTCTGCACAAACTAAAAAGTGATAACTACCCCCGTTTTGCCGTATTCGAATCATAAACACATTGGGGGTGGATTTCTATGTGACGCAAGGGGTTGCAAGGAATTATTTTTGCATCTGTTTATTGGATATGTATAGCAGTATTTTTCTGCACAAACTAGAAAGTGATAACTACCCCCGTTTTGCCGTATTCGATTTATAAACACATTGGGGGTGGATTTCTATGTGACGCAAGGGGTTGCAAGGAATTATTTTTGCATCTTTTTATTGGATATGTATAGCAGTATTTTTCTGCACAAACTAGAAAGTGATAACTACCCGCGTTTTGCCGTATTCGATTTATAAACACATTGGGGGTGGATTTCTATGTGACGCAAGGGGTTGCAAGAAATTATTTTTGCATCTGTTTATTGGATATGTATAGCAGTATTTTTCTGCACAAACTAGAAAGTGATAACTACCCGCGTTTTGTCGTATTCGAATTATAAACACATTGGGGGTGGATTTCTATGTGACGCAAGGGGTTGCAAGAAATTATTTTTGCATCTTTTTATTGGACATGTATAGCAGTATTTTTCTGCACAAACTAGATAGTGATAACTATTCGCGCATTGCTTGTTTGTAAAGGTGGACGCAGTCTACATTTTTTTGTATTTCTTTGGTATTCGGGCATCTTCGGAGAAACGGTTGCTATCTTTGGTTGCTGTCTTCACGCAGGTCTTTTCCGAACCCAAGTGTGCCATGATCACTTGTCAGCGTGTATATACCTGGATGACTAGTATTGTTCTTGGTATCGCAGCTATGCACTGGAATATTAAGGGTCAACAACGCCCTAAGCCCAAACGGATTTTGCGCCCCATATCAAATTTTTTAATACCTAGCAAATAATAAAACAATTTTTACGAAATTATCAAGAGAAAATAACAGTACATTTACATAGAAATCAAAGCGTACTATAACGTAAATTTAATTACGTGATTTATTATTTACAATTAATAATAATAATAAATTTATGACAGTCTTGAAATGAATTGAGTTATAACAGTTAAAATATTATTTATCACTTAAATATACACAATTTACAATAGCGCGAACTATTTACCACTTCGGCGTTGAAATTGGAACTGACTGAAACAATTCGATTTGCTTATATAGCATACACCCATGTTTCTCAAAAGTTTTCGAACGCTTCGAACCCAGTATTCTAGAATGTTCTCAAACAAAACACGTCATGTTTCCCGGAAAGAAAGCGTCACGTCGTTACCACCATAAATACAAACAGTCACATTCGCTTTCGTTTCTTATCGCCGATGACTAATCTTTTATGGCGCCTCTATGTCTATCGGGATTTCTAAAAATATTACCTTTTCCCTTTTAAAACAAATGGAGAGAAATTATTGTACTCACAGTTCAGACAGTATATAATATATAAGTACGTAGTTATACAGGGTTTCCGGAATGGCGCTGTATAAAAGTTTCAAACGAGTAAAGAAAAAATCTGAAAATTTCGGGATCAAGGTAACGGGTCATAAAAATTGCATTTTATATGGTTTAGAACTTTCATAAACTGGGGAATTTTGTTTGGGGGGTGATAACCCCAAAATTTTTAAATTGCAGCCCTTGTCCAGTTTCACAAGAAACACATTCCCGATCTTAAACCATTCGATTTTTCTTCTGTGATGGGGGTTTGCAAAAAATAGAGTAATTATGGGTGGTGCTGGTGAATAACCGACTCGCTTGGATAGGGGATGCTCTTTCCATTTATGAGCGTGCTAGACTGCATTGTCTCGCGCCCCTGCCTTCCGATACGTTGATCTGTTATGAGCATTTTTGATTTTTCACAGTGTTTTGTTCGCTCCTTTTTTTGCGCCCTTAAAATTCCAGTGCCCTAAGCCCGGACTTTGTCCATGAGTCAATCACAGTCGTTAATTACTTTGACAACGCTTGACTTTACCTTCTTATTAACTATAAATCCCACTCTATTTCATTCTTTTTTATCTCCATTATTATAGAAGGTGAAATTTTCCCCTTTTTCTACTGCACATGACTTCACTGGCATCAATCAAGTCCAAATTAGTTCTTAGTATTTCTCTTTTCTAGATTTTCCCCTTGAAAAAGTGTTCCACGGCCCAAATCTTATTCTACTCCCCTCTTTGTTCTTGGTGCACACTTCCTATATGTCTGCTTCCGGAAATCCGATTGAGGAGATATTTTACTTCCGGTATTAAGTTTCATATGCGAAGAATCAATTTTTTTCATTTCTCATTTCTACCACCGTCAACGTGGGATATTAACAGATTTTTAATGCTGGGGTTTCCCGTTGTCCTCCGCATTCAATGCCGTTGACTTCAGTTGTCCATCCGCCGCGCCGTTTGGAAAGACAAGAGGGTCTCCTAATCGCTCTTCAAATTGTCAGTTTCAATTTAATGTTATTCGGTAGTTCTTTGTAAAGTGTTAAATAAACATGTTTTCCCCGTGTTTTATTTCTCTTCTCTCCGTTTATTCAAATTTAGGTTAATTTCCTGTAGAATGCAATTGGACGAATCGAGCGAAATGTTCGAAATAGAGAACGGCGGCCGAGCAATCAAAGGTAAAATGTAGAATAAGATAAAATGCAATATAAATATTTGCCTTTCAATTTGGGGGGTTGTTTCTGTATCACTAAAGTTTCAGTCTTTCTGCGTGTGTGCAGATACGCACACATCGTAAGCTATTTATCTTTTAGTTCGCGTTCTCCCGTTTTTCTCCCTCTTCAGTTGGTTTGTCGACGTTTTTGTTTGCGTAGCGACTTTAGAAAACGACGGAATATATTTAATCCCCCACGTCACTTTGTATACTACATCCCTTTGTACGGCAAAAGGAAATAACTTCGTGCCGTTCTGATTTATACACCGGGAATTAAAGCTCCAGTGAAAAATGTTCGCTGGAAATGGACGCAGGAAATTGTCTTTTTTCCTTTTTTGCGAATAATGGATTCGCTAATTTTCGATTTATTGGTCCAATCTGTTACAGATCAGGATGGCGCGGAGCCCTGCGGAAATTCGGTGTCTGTGCACAATCTTCTAAGGTTGGCGGTGTATCTTCAGCGGTCTGATCTTCGAAGCAAAGCAGGTCGCACGCTGGCGGCGTTTTCCGAAAAGTTAATGGCGATCCCCATGGCGCTTCCGGAGATGGTGTCCGCTCTGCTCCTGTATCACGAGGCGCCGACACAGGTAGGTACGTTTGTTAAGCGTTCGAGTAAAATCTCGACGCCTTGCAGGTGTTTATCGCCGGAGAACGAGAGGATAATAATACTCAAGCTCTCTTGGACGTCGTTCGCAACAGTCTGCTGCCAGGCAGGATCTTGGCGTTAGCAGATGGTCCAACTGGGCGCGCCGGTTTGTTGTACAGCAGACACGAGACCTTGGCTAGGTTGCATCCTGTTCACGGTAAATCGGCCGCGTATGTTTGCCGTAACTTCGCCTGTTCGCTTCCGGTAACCGAACCGGAGGAGCTCGCCACGTCCTTAGAGGCTGAGTTTCAGGCCATAGAGAAAAGTGCAGTCAGTCTAGGGCAACAGTAGATTTTAGTCATTTGTTAAATTTTTTCTTATTTCAATGGGTTTCAAACCAAGAGTTTATCGATTCGTGCGATGTTGCGCACGAATTTTTGCGTATCCGTCTCTTGGCAGAATTTAAGTCATTAGTTATAATACAGATATGCTTTCCATTGGCTTTTGAATAGACATAAGTGTCACTATCATGCAAAGTTTGGAAGAATGTCGAATGTGCGGTAAGTTGTGATAATTATCCTGTAGGATTAACTCTTTTGTGTTACCTAATTGGTCAATTCTTTGACGTAAATTTATCTAGTTTGCGCAAAGCTAAAAGACAAGTTTGTGATATTTACGGAGAGGGTCTTATTTTTTACAATGTTTGTTGAAAGTTGGAGTAATTGTTAAGACAGTCTGAAAGCCTGTCATTAAGCATAGTTGACACGCTTGTATCGTTAAACGCATATAAAAATGTATATAATATATAATGTATAAGTATGTGTTTGAATAAGATTAATAAAACTCATCATCTGTTCATTTTCATTGTTTACTTGAGAAAATACCGACGGCTGTGGCGTCGACAAACTTTCAGGGAATTCGCCAAAATGAGGTAGGTTCTTCTGTATGGATGTTTCCAGCTGAAAAGTATCCGTGATTCCGAACAATTCTTGCTAATCAAATTACTGCAAACGGATTTTACAGTGTAGAATTGTCCTGTACATAGAAGCAGTTTTTTAAAAAATTTATTTACCTTCACAAGATGCGAGAGATGCGGGACCTTCTAAATTTCCTAGCTGCAATAAAACAATACAATCGTTTCGTCAAATATATACCCTGATACCCGATCCCGTGGAGAATCAAGAAGAATGGGATCAAAGAAAATCTTTTTTAAACACGTTTTTATTGGTTCTATTGCGGCTATCGATTTCAACCTCGTAAGGTAGCGATAGCCGCAATAGAACCAATAAAAACGTGTTTAAAAAAGATTTTCTTTGATCCCATTCTACATCGCACAACACGTTTAAAAACAATGGAACAATACATCAACCGAGAATCAAGAAAATGTTCATTTACAAGAAATTTGACTTCTGTACACCAGCCTATATCGCCAACCCTTGATAGATCCTTTCTATGCACATATTGGATAAACTTAACAAGAATTATATACAGTTCGCAAAATCGACTAAAGAACTATATCTAAGCAATAATTTTTAGTTTTGTGAGGCGATTTTTTTCTCTTTTTGGTTTTTAAAGGGTGAATTGAAAAACGGCATTGCCGAATTCATTCCTTTTTTGAGCTACTTTTTCTTTTTTGTTGTTATATTTTTGTTTTGTTTTATTTTTAAAGCTCAAATAAACTTTATTATTATTATTATATTGTGATTGTAAGTTTACATCAAAAAAGGGTCCTTAATATACACATATCTAACAAACATAAAACCCGATCTTTAACTAAAAATGCATCACAAGTTGAAGAGAAAAACGATTACCTTCATGAAGAGGAAGTAGCGAAAAAGTGTATCGATAACTGTACATGGTATTATTGGTATCCAACCAATATTTATTAAAAACGATCCAAGGAACACTAACTCCACAATTGGTATTAAGTCATCACAGGAAACACATAATTCACAACGTCCTTATTGTGGCCAGGTTTGTAAAAATCAACGAGTAGGTATGAAGTCATTTACAAAAAAAATTGTACTACCACAAAAGTTATTAATAAGGTTCAAAAAAAGGAAAATATTGTTGTGTCTTCACCGCTTGGGAAGATTGGATCTTCAAGTGCTAGTTTTGGAAATGATGAATCCAATAAAACATGTAAGTTTTGTGGTAAAAATTTCATAAATATTAGTCGACTTACAATCCATATATCTAAAGCTCGCCCTACTATACACAGGAAAAATATGAATAAATACTTTGTAAACAGAGTTGGACTGGGTCACCTGGGTCACTAAATTAAACTGGGTCACTGGGTCGATGGGTCACGTCATACATACACAACTTCCATTTCTGTGATGTTTGCTTTAATACTGCCGTAAAAAACTTTCCATTTCCCGAATTGTATTAGAATAATGTTATTTCTTTGCTTCAGGGCTTACCAGTTTGCTTACAGGTGTTCATTCACATTTAATTTTTTCTACTAGTTGGCTTAATCCAAATAAATCTTTTCTCTAAATACTTTCATTGACTACTTGACTACAAACTATAAACAAATGCATTTGATTTTTTTAGGTATTAGTTCTCTTGAATGAAATTGGGCTACGTGCTTGTTGGCGAATATTATTGAGGAAGTTTTTTTTAAAAATTAAAAGTTACTTGAAATTGTTTTGGATGATACCTAACAATAATTTAATTACTGGGCCACCGGGTCAAGACGGGTCACTGAGTAAAGCTGGGTCAAGATGGGTCACTGGGTCAAGCTGGGTCACCGGGTCAAGCTGGATCAAGCTGGGTCACTGGGTCACTCTATGCTTGACCCAGGCCAACTCTGTCTGTAAATATCGATACTGTCGAATCTAATGAAGATGAACAAAGAATAAAATCAAAATTCTTAGAAAACTAATAAAATGACATTGAGAAATGTCAAGAATTTAATGACGATTTCAACACAAACGTGAAGAAGTTTTCAAATTGTTTATCTGACGCAATACATTACAATACCTGGACCTAAACATCTTGCTAGATGCTTCTATGAGTTACGTAAAGGAAAAAAAATCGTTACTCAAAATTTAAAAATTGTAGTAACCCTGAACGAAAAACCAAATCTGACCCTAGAAAACGAAAAGAAAGGTGTGAATATGACGTATTGCAATTCGAATTTTATAATCGAAGGCAAAAAGCAGTGCGTCGAGTTCTCGATGGGAAAAAAAAGGATGTAATTTAGGACTAGAAGAAATTTTTAATGAATTTTCGCAATGTTTTTCAAAACCAAATGATTGTACAAGACATTCTTATATCCATAACTCAAATCCTTGTTTAAATATTTTTGAGGGGATAAACTTTGATTACGAGTCCAAAATTAATCATGATGAAGTTCTTGCTGCAATGAAAACAATTCGCGTGGATACGGCTCCAGGGCCAGATAAGATTTTGATGAGGGTTTTAAAATATGAAAGAACATCTGAAGTACCTACTAGCTGAAATTGCGTCTTTTATATTTAATACCGGTTTTGTTCCCGAGTGTTTTCATGAAGCAAGAACAGTTCTTATAGATAAAGGTGGTGATCCTTCGAAAATTACAAACTGGTGACCAATACGTATAATGTCCTTTATTACGGAGAATCTTGACAAAAGATTGGAGAACTACGTTTCTTTCAATACTAATCAAAGAGGTTTTCGAACACACATCAATACTTATGATAGTATTGGCCATAATCATTTACGAGCTACTCTGGAATCAATACCAATACCAATAAAATTACGCCAAGTTATCCCCAATTTATAAGAACATAAAAAACTAAAAAGATTAAGTTAGAATGAGGAGTAATGCAAGGTTCTCCACTGTCACCACCACTATTACTATGCCTTTTTTTTCGGCCGGAAAAAAAATGTCTCAGATCGGCCGGAAAAAAAATTTCTTATAGAATGTGGCCTGTAGAATCCATAATTTCAAACAGTTCCAAAATTGGGCTACTAGTTCAAAAGTTACAGCCCTTTGAATTTTTTTTCGAAATTGGTTTCTAGTCTATAACTTTTGATTGAGAAGTCTGATCGAAAAAGTACGAATTGCTTTGGATTCTACGCACCAAAATTAATAAGAAAAAGTGTTTTCCCGAGAAATTTTGGTGCAGTCGATTTTTGGTAAAACAAGGAAGGTTATACACTGCCTTTTTTGAGCCCCCAAAAAAAAATTTTCTCAGATCGACCCGGAAAAAAAATTTTCTTATAGAATGTGGCCTGTAAAATCCATAATTTCAAACAGTTCCAAGATTGGGCTACTAGTTCAAAAGTTACAGCCCTTTGAATTTTTTTTCGAAATTGGTTTCTAGTCTATAACTTTTGATTGAGAAGTCTGATCGAAAAAGTACGAATTGTTTTGGATTCTACGCACCAAAATTAATAAGAAAAAGTGTTTTCCCGAGAAATTTTGGTGCAGTCGATTTTTGGTAAAAAAGGAAGGTTATACACTGCCTTTTTTTGAGCCCCGAAACAAAAATTGTCTCAGATCGACCCGGAAAAAAAAATTTTCTTATAGAATGTGGCCTGTAGAATCCATAATTTCAAACAGTTCCAAGATTGGGCTACTAGTTCAAAAGTTACAGCCCTTTGAATTTTTTTTTCGAAATTGGTTTCTAGTCTATAACTTTTGATTGAGAAGTCTGATCGAAAAAGTACGAATTGTTTTGGATTCTACGCACCAAATTAATAAGAAAAAGTGTTTTCCCGAGAAATTTTGGTGCAGTCGATTTTTGGTAAAAAAGGAAGGTTATACACTGCCTTTTTTTGAGCCCCGAAAAAAAAACTTTCTCAGATCGACCCGGAAAAAATTTTTCTTATAGAATGTGGCCTGTAGAATCCATAATTTCAAACAGTTCCGAGATTGGGCTACTAGTTCAAAAGTTACAGCCCTTTGAAATTTTTTTCGAAATTGGTTGATTGAGAAGTCTAATCGAAAAAGTACGAATTGTTTTGGATTCTACGCACCAAAGTTAATACGAAAAAGTGTTTTCCCGAGAAATTTTGGTGTAGTCGATTTTTGGTAAAAAAGGAAGGTTATAGGTACAATCTTTGTGTTGATCATATTTTCGAAGAGTTAACCGAAGATTCTGTTTCTAAATCAACTTGTTTTTAAAATTATTGATCAAGCTCCACTTTTGAGTGCCTTAGGATTTGCTGATGACACAGTATTGATTGGGAAATCAAAAGAATCCTCTATGATATTATATGAAACAGCTATTCATCTATTTTGTGAAATTGGATTGAATTTAAATGTTAAGAAAACCAAAATTATAGATATTACCAAAGGCAAATTGTTTGAAGAAGAGATTAACTTAAATAGATTATTAATTAAATCCCTGAACCAAAATGAAACTATAAAATATTTAGGAGTCAATTGTAATAACGAGAGTATACCTTTAATCCACCAGAAATCATTAAAAAATTGGGAACAAAGCTGGATACCGTTATTTCTCACCCTTTTCTTAAGGATATTCAAAAGTTAACAATTCTGAATTCTTATATATTTGGCCCACTTTAATATACAACTTTTAAACTCCTCCATTAATTATGTTACACAATAAATTTCTTAATGACATTGACAAAATGGTTCTCTGTGCTTTAAAAGAAATTTTAGACCTTCCTTCTGACTTACCAAATGCAATGATATATGCATCAAAAAATAAAAATGGTCTCCAATTATTTTGTGCTGGTTGGGAGGCTTATTTACAACACATTAATATATGTAAGTAATAGTCTGCAACTTTCTAATGAAGAAATCATTATAAAAACAAGAAATTTGGAAGAGAGAAAAGAATTTATGTTTGAAAAAGCTTAATTTAATGGATGAAGTCTTCCTGAACAAGCCCGTAAAATAC